GCCAGGCTGGACAGGCCTTTCAGCTCCCTGGTCTAATGGAAGGTGTCTCTGCCCATGGCAGGGGGGGTTGGAACCAGATGATCTAGAAGGTCCCTTCCAACCCAACCGATTCTATGATTCAGTCACCGCAGGGCAGGCAGTGCTCCATCAGTGCTCGATGACACAAGCACATCATTCCACTAAGGGCTGCTCATGCCTCTCGCGAGCACAACCCCTCCCGAGCCTCGATACAGCTCCCCCTCCTACAGACTAAAGTCTGAACTCGGCTCGAGCCCCACGCGCCAAGCTTCAGATCTGACATCAGAAATACACTGCTTGGTTTGACGCTTACACCATCTTGCTCAGTGCATCTCAGATGGGACAAGCAACTCCGTTCTCCTCTCCTCAGGCAGATTAAGTACAGAGATCCACCACGCATTTTCTGGCTAGTGAAATAAGATGTTAACAGTTATAAGCTACTACGCCTCCATCCTTCCTCCGTTCCCCATCTGTACAAAGTCTCCCCAGGGAGAAGGATGGAAAGGTCATGCCTGACAGCCTGCAAACACTAAACATCCTCTCTCTCAGCTGAAAGCCTCCTGCAAACAGGAATTCAGATCAGCAGTGAATGAGTGAACCAAGCGTGTGATCAACTCTTTATTACGGCCAATGCTACAAGCAGATCCCAGCTGTCAGCACACCAAACTGCACAAAGATCTTTCACTGTTGTTATGACGTACTAAAAATGTAGTAAATATGGCATCAAATATGGCTTTTGAGGACTAACAAAGCGCTTGGCTTTGGAAGAGGAGTGGCAGAAGAACGACCACTAGCTTGCAATTTGAAGTCAGTCACATTAAAGACTAGTCAGAACGCCAGGACTATTTCCCGCCACGATCCCAACTTTTTCATAACGATTTTCCTTCCTACCTTTCCACCCACTCAGCAAGATTGCTCCTGAAAGTCACTTGCATTTAAACAAAGCTGCATGAAGATATTTCCCTAATGGTGACTCAGTCCAATTCCAGTATTCGTTTCACTACAGTGCAGTTGGAGACATGGGAACAGTGATTTAATGAAAGATGCAGGCTTGAAAGGAAATTACTTAAAGCACAGTTAGCTATGTACAAAACCCCAGCTTTGTATCCTGCACACTTCATAACACTTAGGACCCAAAACCTAAATCCTGACCTCACCTCCGTCAATAAAACCGCAGCACTAGAGCTACAAACCAGCTTCTAAGAGGTGTTGAATACAGCTGCCTTTCCTGTTGTCATCAGCGGCACAGTCTGCTGTGAAGGAAGGTTTGTCGCTTACCAAGTGCTCGTTACGACACAGAGACCTTGCTCACAGCCATCCAGCTTTCTCAGTGAAAGCCCTAAGTTTGAAAGCAGCAGTAGTAAAAGACAATGCAAACAAGAGACTGGTGTGAAGAAGCCAAAGCAATCTTTATTCCTTCCCTTCAAAGGAAAATCTTACTTCCCCTGCACTGCAAATTTTTCT